TGATGTTACACGGGAAGATTCGCAACACAGCGTTGCAATGCTGGAACAATAGGGCCATTTATACGATGAAAAATAAGACGCGTCTTACATAGGACGCGTCTTAAATAAGACGCGAACTTCCCGTATAAACGGCACATTTCGTCTAAAATAAGACGCGGCTTAGCTAAGCCGCGTCTTATTTTAGAACAGCCCTTAACAGCTGTTCTTAGATAAGACGCGTCTTAGATAAGACAAGAAAAACTTCGTATAAATGACCTTAGCGTCTTAAATAAGACGCGAACTTTCCGTATAAACGGCACATTTCGTCTAAAATAAGACGCGGCTTAGCTAAGCCGCGTCTTATTTTAGAACAGCCCTTAACAGCTGTTCTTAGATAAGACGCGTCTTAGATAAGACAAGAAAAACTTCGTATAAATGACCTTAGCGTCTTAAATAAGACGCGAACTTTCCGTATAAACGGCACATTTCGTCTAAAATAAGACGCGGCTTAGCTAAGCCGCGTCTTATTTTAGAACAGCCCTTAACACCTGTTTTTAGATAAGACGCGTCTTAGATAAGACAAGAAAAACTTCGTATAAATGACCTTAGCGTCTTAAATAAGACGCGAACTTTCCGTATAAACGGCACATTTCGTCTAAAATAAGACGTGGCTTAGCTAAGACGCGTCTTATTTTAGAACAGCCCTTAACACCTGTTTTTAGATAAGACGCGTCTTAGATAAGACAAGAAAAACTTCGTATAATTGACCTTAGCGTCTTAAATAAGACGCGAACGCATAGTACGCATGCGTTAATTTTGGTGCGCCACGTTGGGTTGCTGTTGCTTCGGACAACATTCACATGAAAACAAGTCAAGAACAGAAATAAGACGCGAACCATTTATACGAGCTGTTCTCGTGTTAGATAAGACATGCTCGTATAAATGGTACAGTTCGCGTCTTATTTAAGACTCTTCTTATGTAAGACGCGTCTTATTTTTCCTCGTATAAATGGCCCTAATGTTTGTAACCATTTGAAATGTTGTGGTTTAGTTTTATCCTTGGTTTAAATGTTATTTTCCTTTGTTTGAAACTCATCAACATTCATCACCATACCCAAAAACAAAAGAAAATAAAATTTAAACCAAGGATAAAATTGAACCACAACAGAAACAATGTCGCAACAATGTTCAACGCTGTGTTGCGCTAATAGCCTGCGTAGCATGGCGGTTTTGGTTGGGCGCGCTAAGTAATAAAGGCAGGCGAGGGCAGAGAAACCGAGAGGAGATTGGCTTCGCCGCTCGTTCTCGCGCGCTTCGCGCGCGAATTTGCCGGCTACGCCGCTCCTGCGCCCGGCTCGACAAAACCGCCATGCTACGCAGGCTATTGCGCTAAAAATCTTCTCGTATAACATCACCTCAAGAAAGTCTTGGATTGGTTGGATTTCATGCTGAGGATTCCGGATACCAGGTATTGGATCCCTTGTCATGGAATCTTGGATTCCGGATTCCAATCGTTAGTGGGATTCGGAATTCCTCGTGCTGAATCCTAGACATCAAAGCCCTGCAGTTACGGATTCCATAGGAAGAAAATCCCTAATTCCGGATTACCTTACATAAAGCGATCTTTATGAAAGTAGGGATAGGCATCTTTGAATTTTATTCAAATGCCAAATATATTAAATTGTTAATAGTGTAATTGAATCTATAGGGGTAACTTGAACTGGCTTGACTGTAATGCTTTTCAGAATAGCGGAAAAGAAAAAAAAAATTAAAACACAACTCAGTGAGTTAGTTAGGAGAGGCTTTTTGTTGAAGTGAGTTTTAAGAAGAACTTTAAAGTAATTGACAGTTATTTCATTGAGTTTCTTGATATGTATGAGAGGGTAGAGAGTTCGATAATCAAGAGGTTGCTGTGGTGAGTTTCTTGCAGTCTGCCATATGACCTGCATACTGCCAGTGTGTTAACTCAATGGTTGACCTAAAATTAGTGCGAACTGGTCGGGGGATTTCAAACGCGCTTGACGAAGTCGTAATAACCTATGAATTAAATGGCTGAAAAAGATTATACTGAATAATACAAAAAAACCCACTGATATCGAGTTATTGTTTGGAAGATTAATTGGACACGAACAGGACAACAACAACAACAACGACAACAACAAATTCGTAAATATCTGAATAACTGCCTAACACCTGGTGTTGTTTTAGAGAAATGTTTACGCAGAAGTCATAGGATGCTGGAAATTTGAAAACAAAAACTTGCATTATACTAATTCCACCTTAATATGAAGTAAAGAATTAAGAATTATCATGTTGGTCATTCGCAGATACCCTTTCCCAAGCCCATCTCCGCTCTACTCGATTACACATTAAAGATTACAAGACTTTCTTCGTAACGTTTCTCTCGACTGTCCCTCAGGTACTTCGAGGATGCAGAGATACACTTTGTTATCAACAGAGCGCCTGATGTGTATATTTGTAATGATAATTAAGATTAAAGTAAAAGTACTTTTTTTGCTATATCATAACTATCATACTTATTCTAGTTAACAGTCTCGGTGGTCAGTTGTATATGTCGATAACTTTTTTTATACAAGGATTTCCTTAGCCATCTTGTTTTGTGCCAGTTTTCTCTTATTTTATACTGTACTTATCAACTTTTAAAAAAGCAGCACTTTAAAGCCATAGAATCAAGATGAAGATTTGATCAGCCCATTCCTTCACAACACACTCAGCCGGCCTTATCTGATAATTGTTTGTTTTGAAGTTATTTCCCAGGACAAGATATCATTTGGCAAGGAAATCCTGAGTGAAATTGTATTCCCTAAACTTTACGCAAGAATTTAACATCATGCTTTGTTAAAAATGCACTAGTTGCGGTTTTAAAAGTGTAAGTTCAACATGATTTTTGTGGTATTCAAATTAAATTTATTTTTTATTCAAACATAATTAGAGTTAATTTTTCATAAACAAAGGAGCAAAAAGGAATCGGTATTGACAACATTATAAAAAGTAGCACAGACAACTCCATTTTTACTATCTTTAAAAAATCCATTATTTTCCGGTATCGTTTTAGCAAATTTGACTCCCGTGACTATGTTCCTAATACAGAGAAAGGAGACTGCATAATTCAAATGTTCGTGGAAATAGATAGTAACTAAGAGACAAATCGCTTATCATTCTCAAAACTTATTGGCATTTGAAACTACACTGATTGCTAGAAAAGAAAAATGTAACTATGCGACTGTAAAATTGTTAGGAATTCTTGACGGTATGTGGTGCGGGAAACCACTTCCCTTTCCACTTCCCGAACTTTCTTTCGAATCAACAACCCAGTCGCTGTTTCTATTCCTGCTACTTGCCTTATTTTATAGCTTTAAATATTTTAAGAAACACCCCCTCTAGCTATTCACACAGTATTGACAGCATGTTTAGATTATTCTCCCCCGTAACCGTTTTTAATTAGTTATTGCTTATTTGAGTGGCTAGTTCCTGTTACCCTGGCGTCTCTTCCCTTCTAAGCCCCGTTGGACACCAAAACCTCTTAAACGTCACGGTCTGACACGCCACGCACATGTAATGTAGGACAAAGTTGTATTTTAAACACCTAAACGAGTGTTTCTTTTTGGCAAAATATACAAGAAAAGCGACTTTTGAAGTATGACATAACCTGGAAACGCAGAATGGAGCGAATGTTCAAGCTTCGACTTTTCACCAAAGTCAATCATATATTGTATTGATTTGTTGCAAGTTCAGAGTTTCAAGAAATGGCATCGTCTTTTCCACTAACAGAATTCCTCTTTATTGGAATAACTTCCACTTGGTTACTTGGAATTGTTAGTACAACGACAACGGTTCCATCTACAGTTTATATTGGTAGGATAGTTTGCGCATTAACTTTTTGTCGTAATTTAATTGGAATATACTTTAAATTTCCTTTGTATCCTTATTAGCCTCATACTCCAAGAAATTTAATGTGTGTCTTGATTTGAAAAACACTGTTTTAGAAGCATCGAACGGAATTTATAGAAAAAAAAAAAACTTTGAGTTCGGTTTTAAAATGCGACAGGTACGCTCTGTTTAATTATGCAAACCATGGTCTTATTTATCTATGTCTGTATTATTTTCTAACCTAAAGCGTTCTGAAAGAGTTTATATTTTGCTATTCTTGCCTATATCCTTATCTTTTCCACTAATTTTTACCTGATTATCGAGGTAAAAATTTAAGTAAACAATTCAAACCTTTCTTAAATCATGTTGTTTTGGCGAGGTATATCACCTTTGAGGCCGGGTGTGTTTTAAAGTTTAATGATAAAGAGGCGATTTCATTTATTTGCTGAGAAAATTCCAATTCACTACATATGTGTCTGTTTTAAAATTTATTTTGTTTTATAAATAGGAGGAGCAAAGAATTTTAAACAGCTAATATAGCACTCGTATGCATAAAAAACAAAAAAAGAAATACCGTAAACTGAATTGAACTCAGTCCTTAATAAATGAGACACCAAATATGCTGTGCTGCCTCGAATTCACAATACATTCACAATTAAGCTTTAGGTAAAGTCGCGTTAGGGTCTTGTAATTCAGCATGTTGTTGCATTCTTTGTCTTGTTTTGTCAATTGTTATGTAAGGATATCCAATTGTGCTTTACAGACGGCACGCAACAGTGGTAGCGAATTTGCAATGCACGATTTGAATAATTGTGGGTTCTTTGTGGAGTAATGCGTCTCACAAGCCACCAGCTAGAATGCTAGACGCCAGCAAAATTCTCAGGTTTAATTGACAAATGGACTGCCATTGATAATAGCTCGTGGGTGGTGGAGTTATTTATCAGACAAATTTATTGTTGCCTCAGCTGATGAACGCAAATTGATCAAACCTTTATTTCCTTAATCTTGTAGCTCTGTTGTCAAATAAAAGTAGCAGTCAAGAATGGAAGGCTTTTCAGCTTGCAATCAGCCACGTTAACTCAAACAAAAACTTGCTGCCTAGCACAACTGTCAAGGCTTTTGAAGGCGACATGGATGAGGAGAACATTCTTGAATATGGTGAGTGCTTAACATGTGGTTTAAATAACTGCTTAAGTGTGACAAATCTGCTCACAGACACCTGTACAATTATGAATATGAACCATGGAATGCACGTTTTCATCACAGGGGCGTAGCTAGGGGGGCTCCTGGGGTGCTGGTGACCCTTCCCCCCCTTGGTAGGCCTTCTTTTGAGCAAACAACCTACAATATTCAGGTGGCGAAAACGCCATGACAATATCTTGGCCGTAAAAGCCATTGTTGAAAAGCCCACTTTTTTAAAATTTGTTTTTCTGTAAAGTATTTTCGTCAAGGGCTCTTGTCTTTAGTTAGTATGGGCCTTCATACCTTCACGCCACATTAAGTAAAACATGCACGGCGTGGACGTCGACATAATAATCTGGTGACTAGCCTCTGTGAACCCCCCTTTGAAAAATCCTGGCTACGCCCCTGCCATCATCCGGCATTTCTGCTGAAAAAGGCTTAGTCTTGGGCGTACTACCTATCACGAGGATCAGAATCGCTAATTTATGAATGACACATCTGGAAACACGCATAGGGAACCCAAACCACAGTCTCTTGATAGTGTTTTGAGTTGAAACGTCGGCATCTGAATCTCTTTATGGTGTTAAAGCAATAAAACTTACAGCATCTTACTAACTAAAACAACTAAAAATTTTATTTCTAGTAGAAAATAAAAACGTTTCAGACTGAGGCTCGTTTTGCGGAGACAGACCTACAATGTAGTTTACCAGCATTAATAAAAATGCAGTATATTTAACCCACAAGTGATGCTACCTACGTGGAAATGTCTACAACATTTGACAAGGCTGAGAGAAAATTTACCCCAATTTAGTTTACATTTGTAAAACATTATCTCGTTTTCAGCCAAGTAAAATCTTTTCACATGAAAGTGGCTATCCTTTTCAACAAAATAAGGTCAGAAAATTTTCAGTTCATTCCCACCTTTTTAGAGCCCTGTTTAATTAAATTAAGATACAGGCTCAAGGATTTTCGGGTTCTTTAACTAAAATGCCACGTTCTTTTTTGCCTTATTCGCATTTATACTTTTACCCTCATTTGCATGTCTTGCCATTTACTCAGTTGGTAAGAAGGACGCTGAAAACCTTGCATTGCGTGACCAAGGGCTCTGCGTGGCGGCCCACTTGTTTGCTGAGGAGATAAACACAGAGTCGGATTTGGTTGGAGAAAATTTGGCCACCAAACGTGACGAACTTTGTTTTCAAGATGTGCCAATATATAATAAACTAAATATTTCTTCAGCAAAGCTGGGGGAAAACCGCCACCCACTAAGACAAGAAAGAGAAACACACTGTAAGGAATTAATTCGCAGGAAGGCGGAAGGGGAGGTGGTGGAAAATGCTGAAAATTGGTTCAAACCAGCTATGTGAACAACGTGATGGTGAGCGATCGAAAGGGGGCGAGCACATGGAAAAGCGCCCCTAAGAATGATATAGACCGGAACGCCCTAAATTCTGATTGGCTGGAATAACTTATAGGCTTGGAACCTGCCGCCTTGGCCTGCAAACCATTATCAAATGCCTTGCCATAAAATCCCATTATGACTCGTCATAACGGTGTCTCTTTTGTCTTTTAACAGCTTCAACTATCTCGAAGTTGGGCATTGTTTCCCTTCTATTAGATTCTAAAGCTACAATTACCCATGAAGCTTTGACCATGATGCTACAAATTCCCTTGGTAGCCACGGACACTGGATCCAATCTTCCTGGCGGTGCAGAACATTTGAGATACGCTGTGAGAATGGGTCCAAGCGAACATGATATATCAGCAGCGATACAGGGAATTATTAGTTATCATAATTGGACAAATCTTCTTGTCATGTATGATGGTGAGTTTACAAAAGAAGAGTTTTTTTTCGGCGGTTTTTTTTTTTTGCAACAGTGTAAGATTCTGGGAACATACTCACCTACCCCGCCCCCAAACCACCTTTTGCCCCATAAGAATTGTTAAGTTGCTTAGGGGAGTGGTAATCATACTGTTCGTTTTATTTTATTGTCATGCCAGTTTATAGACCTTATTCATAATACCCACCATTTCTGCACGCGCATTGATAGGGGATAAAAGCAATGTCACGTGATATTTCAGGGGGCAAACAAGTGATAACATTTTGCAATACGAGTAATCGCGGTCGAGTTTGCTTATACTCTCAGAGCGAGGGGCGATTTAAGTCTTACAAAATGTGCAGTTCGAGTCAGTTTTAACAAGTTTTATGTCAGTATGCTTGCTACTGCATCCAGAAAAGAGTCAATGATCACTTCCATTATAATTTACCATTATGGTCTTTAAGGTAAAAAGTTGTTCATTTTCGGTTGTTTATCAGTTTTTATCACTCACTTTAGCAGTTTTTATCACTCGTTTGCCCCGTGAGAAACCACGTGACATGTGTCGTTGCTTTTATCCTATCAATCCTTAAGTACGTGCAAAGATGGCGGTTATCGTTGATAAGGTATATTAATCCATCTCAAAATTTGAACAATAAAATAAATATAAATAAGTGCACAAATATATGCATCAATAAATAAGTAAATAAACAAATAAATAAACTGATATTTTTTTCTTGTAGTTAGATGGAGGCACTTGGCTCACGACTTTGTTCTCAGCCTTCCACCAAAAATAAAGGTTACTAAACTACCGCTTGAGCTTGATCATCATGGTCACGCCTCAAAATTGTGTGAAGAAACGAAAAGAAAGCTTGTTGGCTTTCACGATGCACCTATCGAAGCATTTGTAGTATTCCTGGAAAATCACTGGGTCGAGAGCATTATAAACCAGGTATGGAGAAAGTAAAAGAGGAGACATGTTTTGTTATCCCTTGCTTTTAAATTTTTTCGTTTCTTTAATTAGTTTTTTTTGTTCTAAAGCCAAATGTCTTAAAACGGTCTTGAGTCCCGAAGTCTCTAAGTCTCTCAAGTTTACCTCTTCTAAATGTATGCTGTTATCACGTGCGTGGAGGGGGGGGGGAGGGGGGGTTAAGGCTTCGCTGTAAAAGTTGTGCTTGCCGGAAAAGACCCTCTCACTTCCCCCCACTCCCCCTCCCCACAAGAAGGTACCAGAATCGCCTTTTGTGGGCTTGCTTCGCTTAAATTCATTTTTACCCCCAAGAGGTACTAGCTATAAAACAATAAATCAAATGACAATTTTGAACAGCGAGGGAAAATTAAAATAGAGCCGATCCCGTTGACCAGCAACTAATTCTCATCATTTTGCCGCTGATCTGAGGTGATTTTAGTTGAACTCTTTGATTTGCATCAACTTTTTCTACAGGTTCACTGCGCATGCTCAATAAAGATAGAGAAGCCTCACTACTGGCTTTTGGCGGATCCGGTAAGTGAGTTCTTCCCTTCAGCGTTCTAAAATCAACTGGTTAAAAAATGAACTTAGACGACGCCCGCTTCCTGATTAATTTAAAACCGCCCACCACTGAGTTTGTTCTCGATCGTCACGATCTTACGGAAAATATGGATGCAGCATTGAGAATAATACAGTTATCTATTGAGTTAAGGAGTCCTTAACTCAACAGATAAATGAATTTTTGAAGCGATTGGGTAGTTATAAGTCGTCCTTTGGCAAAGTTGCACTAGAAATACATGTAAAGCACAAATCCAAGTTTCTTGATTAAAATCTCAACTATATCAGTCAATAGTTATGATTATAATTTTGATTATGATTAATTATGATCATTGTTTACCCACTTTTCATTGGGGTCACGTGATGTGACGGACGTGTGTTTGAGTGCTCCACGTAACATTTCGTAAGTTTCTGATGTTTAAGTGTTCCTTCTGCTTTCTTCTGTGTGTTTCGTTATCTTGTTTCGTGTGTTAGCCTCTCTTCGTAATTCTTATGTACTTGCCTTGTTTTATGTTAGTTTAAATTCTATTTACTGTATAGTAGGTAGTGTCTTCACTGTTATTTAGTCCATCTATATATAAATCTTGTTTTGTAATATGTCTTCAGCTCCCCCCGCCTGGATTAGTTTATAAGCTATTTGCGGGTGGGAAAGTAATGTAATTAGTTATTTTCCAATTTTCAATAAAATTTGTCGTTGTTGTTGTTGTCATTCAACTTAGATCTCTTCAACTGGTCTGACTGTTCAGCCTTCACAAGTGGTCATGGGATTTCAGCCACACAAATCCAATAGCAATTTGACGCAGAATTTAATTGCAGATTTATTACCGTCTCAGGACATAAAGGTTTGGAACATTGTTCATATATGTTTTTTTCTATTTCTTGTTATTGACACATTAACAATTAATGAATGAGGCTGAGTATCTTATGAAGAATTATGGAGATTGAGGAGGGTAACACCATCCGAGATCTCTATAATTCTTCATATGATACGAAAGCCGAATTCAATAATTGTTTTATTATTCATTCAAAATAATTCCTAGTTTAAAAACATGGCTACTGAACGTGCTTACCTCCATCGATTCATCGATGTTAAGTTCATCTTCGATAGTGAACGTTTAGGTTTGTCCAGCTCCGTAAGTATTCTCCAAATAGCAGATGCCGCCCTTCGAGTTGTCTTCTTGCTGTTCTTGCCATGTTTTTAGCTATTTTTTCGCCTGTAGTTCTTACTCTTGAAGCGAGTGAAATGGCCGCCATTTTTCAAGTTCACAACCAAAACAACTTAACCTCGTCCCCAGGTCTTCTCGGTTAACGGTGCCTTAACCTGCCAAAACGCTGCATTTTTGAGGTCATTTCCTCGTTAAACACAAAATTCTTCCAAATTTGGTCATCAGTAACTGGTTATGGTGAATTAAACGTGTGCTTTTAGCCAATCAAAATCTGGAAAATATTTTGAATGAATAATAATCTATAATAAGCTGATCAATCGTTCATTTTAAAGGACTCTTCATTTCTTATCTACGATGCTGTCTGGACAGTTGCGCATGCTCTTCAAGCCTTGATATTCAGTGGAGAATGGCAAAACAGTTCAAGTGGAACATTGCAGCTATCACCGAATGGCATTTTTTTACTGGAGCAATTAAAAAGGGTAAGCAACTGTTGCCTGATTTCTTTTAAAATGCATTTTTGCTATGACATGTTGCATTCAGGTGAATTCTAAGCCTGGTGATTATATGATAATGATGTTAGTTTGTTTTTCTTTCAGTAACACGGGCGGTTAGATAGAAAAACAACAACAACAACCTATGTATATGTTATGGTTCACTTTTACCCTTGGTTTAAATTATATTTCCTTTTGTTTTGGGGAATGGTAATGTATGATAATGAGTTTGAAACAAAAGAAAATAGAATTTAAACCACAGATAAAATTGAACCACAAAATACACATTTTAAAATTTTGTAGCTTTTCTCTGCACCCCTCGACTATTTACTAACAAATATATTATCCTTTATTCTCGCATATTTTGTAACCGTCAGGTTGAAATAAAGGGAACCACAGATCTCATCCAGTTTAACAGCTCAGGAACTCGGATTAACAGCAAATTGGATGTCAAGAACCTTCAAAATAATAAGTTTGTGACGGTATGTAACGTAAAGGAATCGAACGTACCTTAACGTACTGTGATGTTGCGGATGAGAGGACAAAAAAATATGTGTCCGCTTTACACTAGTAAAGCGGACACGTATTAAACGGACACTAGTAAAGCGTACACGTACACTAGTAAAGCGGACACTTACCAACAGTAAGCGCTTGGACACTTAAGCATATCATTGGTGCCTCACCTTGGCTGTCAGTCCAAATATGAGATGGCTGTAACCCACCCAACCTATGAAATCATGTCATTTTATGCAAAGTCAAGTTATTTGGTTTCGTTGCTTTGTTTAAGGCTGGTATTACATTAAAGATCATACTAACTTCATTTTCTTTCTCACTCAAGAGTTCAGGTGTACGTGTAAATTCGGGGGAATATTTCTTCGCGTAAATTATTTCCTATTTGGGAGTAGCGATAAATTTCAAAAATTAGACCCAGAAAACAAATCAGTGCCATAAAATACGTTAATAACGAGCTAAAACTAAAAGTGTGAGGGGTGTATTTTTTTTTTATAAGAACATCTCAGTCACTGTGTTGCCCATATCCCAGGCGGAACGTAAGCAAGTTCCAATGCCCTTCTTTGCCGTCATTTTGAGAAAGAAAAAGGCCTGAACTAGAAAATTTGGTAAAAGAGAGAATTCATTTGACGCCAGTAACTAAATAAGAATTGATTTTCTGATTTTCAAAGGTTAATGTATTGTGTAAAATGTAAATAGGTTGGCCAGTGGAGTTCTTCTCAGCACAAGCTTCAAATCAGTAGACTTCAACAAAACAAACAGACTGCCGGGATAGTTCCCCTGGACAAACTTAACAGGCGCCTCAAAGTAGTTGTTGTTAAGGTAAAGGACCTCACTGAAAAGCGCCATGGCGAGTTGTACTCCCTCTTTAAATATATAACAATTGTTGGATGAGGCTGAGTATTATCTGAAGAATTATGGAGATCGAGGAGGGTGTTCAAATGATAGGAAAACCGAATTCAATAACCGTTTTTATTGATTATTCATTCAAAATAATTCCTAGTTTAAAAACAAGCTAAAACATGCTTATCTCCATCGATGTTAAAACAATCTTCGATTGCATGTTTATCGGCAAGTTTAGGAGATAAAAGGTTGTTCATTACTGCAGGCAAATATTCTCCAAATAGCAAATGTCGTCCGTCGAATTGTCGTCTTGCTGTTCTTGCTATGTTTTTAGTCAATAGGTAAAACTAGGGAAATGTTCCGCTATTTTGTACTCACCAACAAAATAACTCAACCTCGTCCCCAGGTCTTCTCGGTTAACTGTTCATTTTTCTGGCAATTATGCTGTACAATTGACGTCACGTTTTACATGTCCCAAAATTCCTCTAGTAGCTGGTTATAATGGGTCATGTGAGGGATTTTAGCCAATCAGAAACCGAGAAATATTTTGAATGAATAATAACGTTATTTATTTTTATTTAACAAAGGAAGCTTGAAGAGGTTTATATTTTAACAAAATAGATAAAAGAGCCATAGAGACCAAATACCTTACTTCGTGTATCCAACAAAAACAACCGCTCAAAAAGTTAAAAGAAGTTGTAAATAACACAGCAAACAAAAGAAGGCATAGATTGAAAAATCTCATGTAGAAGAATGAAACGGATTGCTATTGTCAACTTGTTAGCCTAACAGTTTTCCAGAGTTCATTTTGTTTGTTTATAACATTAATATAATAGAGAGCTTTAGATTCTGAGACGAGGACGACTAAGAGTACGAGATTTCCTCAATACTGTGTATTGCTCACACGTGAACCAGTGTCATTTTAACGGGAAAACGTGATAGTGGTCGTCATTCTGCTACGAGTTTTAGCGAGAATGTCGTAGTGGCGGGAACAAGTTTTCAAATGTAAGAAGTTTTATCATTTTGCTATCGGAAGGGGGCTTAACCTCCTTCAGTAAAAATAAGTGTACTAAAATTTTTGGTGTATTGTAAAAAGCTAAAATGAAGCCTTCCGGGTATTTTTTTTTCAATCACACGCAAAAACTTTGAGTTAAATCTTGTACTCGTATTCGTTCTCGTGCTCAAATCTAAAGCTCTCTAATGTTTAGGAGACACATTTGTTTGACACGAAGCTGTTTATAATTTGTCAAGCTCCATAGCGAACTGGCATAATTAATAAAATGACACAGCTCCTTTAAATTCAGATTTTTAGCAGTCAATTTTTTTCTCTTTTTAGGATGCTCCGTTTGTGATGGTGAATAAAGATGGTGAACTGGAAGGCTTTAGCATTGACCTTATTAAGAAGATCGCTGACATGCTTTCCTTTCGATATGACATTTATCTATCCCCCGACGGTCTTTACGGTGGTGGGAACAAGAACACAGGCTATACAGGAATCGTAGGAGAAATCACGAAGAATGTGAGTACCAGAAAACAATTCGCCTCGCGAAATAATGACAACTGCTTTAAGGAGCTGTATCACGAAACCTAGCCACATTGTGCCACTGGCGGGGAGTGAGACAGAAAATAACCACTTAACCCTTTAAGTCCCAACGGTGTCCAACATCAATTTTCTCCTAACCATATCCATAGATTGTCAAGAGATTTGGTTATGAGAATTAATAAATTGATCACCTAAGAGATCATGCTTTGATCTTTCATCAAATTCTCTCAACTTATTCTTTAAGGAAATGTATAGAGATCAGTTTGGAGAATCTGTATGTGGATACTGGGGCTTAAAGGGTTAAAGCATTTAAGAAAGGTTTAGACTGACATAGAGAATACAAATGATGGCACGGATGGGTAAAATTGAAGATAAATAAATGGATTATTATTCGAGTTTCTGAATCTTATTTACCGAAAAGTGTTTCAAAATTACGCCTCAGTGCTGTTGCTTGTATCTTATAACATGACGCGCTGGGGACAAATATTCTGAAGCATTAAAGTCCATTTAAGAGTAGATACGAATATAATTTATTAGAAATGAAACTAAATGGACCAGACTGTCGTGAAATAGCCTCCCTAGCTGCCGCTAGTAGCCTGTCACGCCCCTTTAAATGGGTAATTATCATTGATAATCAGCTTTCTTCGTATTTCGCGAGATAAAAGAGTTATCGTTGCATGTGCAGTCCTCAAGAGATAAATACGGTGATAGAGCTACATGGGTAACGAAAAGATACTTTTTTACGGTAATTGGATTTTTTTTACCATGAAAATTAATTTCCCGCTTGCAGCAAGCTGACCTTTCCACATCACCGCTGACCATCAATTCCGAGAGACTGGAAATACTGGAGTTTAGCAAGCCATTCATGCAGTTCACGATGAGTTTAATCACCAAGAAACTGGACACTAATGATCATGACCTGACTACCTTTATGCTACCCTACTCCGCTGAGGTCTGGCTGCTTACGCTCATGTGTCTTCTGTTGGTGGCAGTGTTAATGTACTTGGTAAATTTCTTCAGCCCATATGGTCATCGATCGCGTCATAGGCATAGGCATCTCGCAGAGACTGGTGAAGAGTTCGACTTCTACAACAGTTTATGGTTTTGCCTCGCTTCCATGTTACAGCAAGGAGCGGATCAGACGCCAAAATCATTTTCAGGTGACTTTTAACATTCGGTACACCGGGAGAAATACTCCCTATATTGCCCACGACCTGCTGCTGCAGCAGTGCTAAGATAGCTCAATGCTCTCTGTAAAGAAACCCACAAAACGTTGTATTGGGCCTTTCCTAGGGTAGAGAAGAGACTAGATTAACATTAGTTCAAAAATTTTCCTTAAATTTTCCTCAAAATGCCGGTTGTAGTGTTGTCAAAAGATTACAAGGATACACCAATAAAATCCACCATTCGGGTCGTTAACAGAACAAAATGATAGATGAGCAGAAGAAAAAAATCATCCACCCCCGGTGGGACTCGAACCCACAACCTTTGAATTAGAAGTCCAACACGCTAATCCATTGCGCCACGGGGGCAACTCAGTCGAGTATGGAAATATTTTATGTTTATGATATAATTTACATTTTCTTTGATAAAAATTTAGTTTATCCTTCTTTGCGTTAGCCATTGGTTGTTTTGTGTACTGACCAAATGATGGTACCTGTTATATGAGATATACCATTTGATCAATTAAAAATAAATAAGGAAAAGAAAGCCAATTTCCTGTCCTCCTGTTTACTGAATTTACTCTTTGTTTGCAAGTCGATATGAAGTACAAAGCTATAATATAATAAAAATATAAAAAAAATTTTCAGTTTAAAGTCGGCGGAAAAATAGAGGATATTACATGGCCGCGCGGGGATACGAATTTTATCTTCTCTCACATTAACGTGGTCACCTATCGCAAAATACCTGTCACAAAAATGTTATGAAACTCGGATATAAACTTATAAAGGAGAAATAAAGGCAATAATTGGCTAATCATGTTAGTAACCATGGCGACACCAATATCCTCACACGTGAAAGATAAAAATAGTATCTTCACTACGCGCGATGAAGATATGATTTTTTAGTAAAAGGAAAAATCCTGGTATTTCATCAGTATCTATACAATAAATAAGAATATTCAGACTGGTCCGGAAAAGGGTGTCGACTGTAGTTCAATCCACGTGTTTAAACTAATTGCTGCGAACCTATTCGTCTCAAAATGCTAACGCTGGACTACATCAAGGTTGCTGATTAGGTGGCAATTCGGCCGATTTTCTCATGCATCTCGTGGTTACGATATCGTATTTGGGTCGAAACAGTTCAAGATATCAGTTTAAGTTTATTGCATATCAATTACAGTTAGTGCAGGTTTTTTTCATTTTGTTGGCTAGTTTGGCCGCTTGGAAAAAGGAATAGGTGTAAAACATATAGTTTTATTGCATTTATTGATTTCAACACAGAACATTATATCCTTTTCCAAATCTCAGCCTTAGGTTTATTCTTAAAAATATTCTTAAAATTTGGCAAATTTCAGCCTCAATGTTCTTATAAAATATATTCTTATAAAAGAAAAGAGTGTATGTACTTGCAACTTGTCAAAACGCCTCTTCAGTATTAGCGACCACTTTCTCGCAATGCCAATTAACGCTTTCATATTGAAGGTACTATGGTTGGAACTATCGTAATTGACCACCTCCGCCGGCTTCCTTAAGTCTTGTAATGGTCTCTTACGTGTAGCTTGCAAAACAGGCCTAAGAGTTATTTTTGTTAGCCTTTTCACGAGAGCGAGAGCAAGTGCAAGGTGAGCTGTAGAGCGCCAGACACGCGCGACGGAAGGGATCGAGGCGCGTAATTCGTCGTGCTTTAATTCGTCTGCTCACAGCCCAGTCGCGTTTCCCGTTCGCCTTGAACGGACTGCTCACATGAAATATGTTAGTACCCTCTGTATACTATATTGGTTCTAGTCATTAAAAGGACAGGTAACGCTGACTGGATAATATTTAACAATTATTCCTCGAGCCCGAATGGCCTCTGAGTCAATAGCCCATGAGGCTGAAGACCGAATGGGCTATTGACTCAGAGGCCATGAGTGCTCGAGGAATAATTGTTTTAGTAAAACCCAACTAGCTGGTCAAAAATAACGAGAATAAAAAAAATTTAGCTAGTTAAAGCTTGACTTTAATCCTTTTTGCCGCCAAAAAGCGCGCGCTTTTCGCTAGTAGTGGGCTATAACATATAGCCTAGTAGTAGCTCAACCAATCAGAACGCAGCATTGATAACAGACCACTTGTTGGATTTTACTATCACTGAATCAATGATTTATCCTTTGTACAGCGCTATTCGCAGTTCTTCGAACAACTTGGGCCTGATTTGCAGTTATCTTATCCCCAGGTCGTGTTCTAGCCGGGTGCTTCTGGTTTTGTATTCTGATCTGGATATCTACCTACACAGCTAATTTAGCCGCCTTTTTCACCGTCCGAAACAGTGAGAGGCAAATCAACACATTGGAGGATGTTGTGGAGGGAGATTATCCATTTTATATCCTGCGTGACAGTGCTATTTTCGAGTTCTTTCGCGTTGCCGATTATCACACCTATAGAAAGCTCTGGGAACGAATGAACGCTGAAGATACTTTTGTGAACTCTACTGACGAAGGCTATGCGACGACAAGAAAGGTTCAGAATGCGGTGTTTATGTCAGAGGAACCATCGACGGAATATACGATCATGCAAAAACCTTGTGATTTGAGGGCAGGTATGATTTAATTTCTAAACAATAGACCATTGTTTCCTGTAGTAAATCAAAATTAAAGTGGAATTTTTGAAATTTACTTCATTGATACACGGAAAAAATCTGTTGGCGGTGAAGTCGCGGCCATGTGCAAAAAAGTAGACTAGAGAAGGTCTGTGAACAATGTAAAGGAGAGCCTCCACGAGCGAAAAAGTATCAATAATTATAATCAAGATGATGATGATGATGATGATGTGATGATGATAATGACTGACAAAAATTGAATCGCTGACCCCGACGTGATTTGAACACGCAACCTTCTGATCTGGAGTCAGACGCGCTACCATTGCGCCACGGAGTCAACTACAGAAGACATCGTTCACTAAAGTGCTGATTTCCTACAACGCCCATGAAAATTTCGACTGTCTATTCAGTCTATTTGATCGCATTTCGTATCAATGTACTCTACTAAGGAATTTTGATATTAAGCGTGTTATTAATTACTCCCTTGAATGTACTTGGTTTCACAATCATAACAACCAACCCATATAAAACGGTTGCCTCTCCGTTCACCTGCCATCATTCCCCCCTCCCCTTTCTCCTTACTTCTCACGAGAAGAAGGGTTCTTTTCTACCCAACAACTAAACAATATTAACTTTTATCTCTTATCCACAGTTAAAAATCATCAGTCAGAGTGAAACGATTAAAAGTTTAACTAATTTAAGCTAACAACACAAAAAGTTCTAACAACGATGATAAGGAATAGTAATTGTAAAAAAAAATGCACGTGCTTTCCATGAATGCCTCGAAAAATGGTTATGCGCACCTACCCCTCCCCTAAACCAACATTTTGCCCTAAGTGAGAAGTAAGTGTTAATATTAGCCTCGGATGGGGAGGTGAGCAGTTTCCCAGAAACGTATAGTGATCCGTTGTAAACGTGTATCATATTTCAAAACAAATCACTGCAGCCGGATTAGAAGAGAAAAGAGTTCGCCCTTGCCGCAGCTCAACTTTACCTCTCCTCTAAGAAAAAAAAATAGATTGAAGCAAGCCGGTACTCCTGATCGCAGGCTATCTCCTCTCAATTTAACAGCCAGAGGCAGAGAGGTTGTGGGTGACTCCGTGGCGCAATGGTAGCGCGTCTGACTCCAGATTAGAAGGCTGCGTGTTCGAATCACGTCGGGGTCAGTATTTTCCATTTGTTTCTTTTTTTATTTATTTTTGCACATACAATCCCTTATTTTTCTCGCCAGAAATCAAAACCTGTACCTTAATTTGATTAATTGCAGAAAAATATACAAATATCGCAATTTACAGGCCTGTCCCAAGTTCGTTCGTCAAATTTCATGCACTATAACTTTTGACCAAAACTTTATTTCTACATCACTGAAAATTTCTAAACGATGTTTACTGCTCTATCGAGTCCTTTTATTCAGAAGTTCAGTAACCGGCATGCCCCCTTTGTTTGGTTGTTTGTTTTTGTTTTGTTTTGTTTTGTTTTTTTTGTGGGATAAGTCATACAGCGACGGTGGAGGCCCAGATGATCCATTTTGATTCTTTTTATCACCTTAGTGGCACGCACGAGCCATTTCGACCCCAAAGAATTTCATTTTTTAGATTAGGCAGCTGAAAAAAATCCTTTAGGCATTCATCCAAAAAAAAGCTTTTCCGCAGTGAGGCTTTTATACTTCTTTCTAAATTTGAGACGAGCTGGATGTTAACGTTGCTTGGCATACTGAAGAGAACCTTTTTGTTATCTCAGGGGCATCCAACTCTTCGCTTTTCATGACCCTGCTCCAGACTAAGCTTGCTAGCTGTTGTAAGAGCTACCTCGTTGAGTTCCTCTTTTGTACCTAGCTTTCTTTAAAACTGTTTTAGCTGCTTTATTCAGGGTCTTCCTCTCTGTTTCTTGTCTTCAAAACCTTCATTTTTCGATGACCATTATATCACCCAACTTTCGGATTTTTGAAGTTTTTTTTAGCAATTTCTTTAACTGATAAGCCCGTAGACTAAAGTATTCATGGTTATGCTTTCACGTAGCTGAGCATTTTTGTGTTATCTTTCATGATATTCACAAAAAACAAGGAAGGAGTTCGAGCAATTCGGGCTACAAAAAAACCATGTAACGGGAAAATATACTCGCGCACGCGCACCTTTGGCGCGAGAGTACACAAATCGAATATCCGAGTCGAAAGATGACACAACAAGTATGAAACATTAAATTATATGGAAAAGACAAGAATTTTCTTTAAACAATTTGCTTATATCAAGTCAAATTGTACTGCATTATAGAGTCTGACTTACAAAGAAGAGGAACGAACTTTTGGGACACCCTGTGATTGAATTGAATTGATTTATTTTTTTGCAGTGAATGGCCTTCTTGGGGCAGCAAGTTATGGTGTGGCCATGTCTAAACACTCTCCTTATATCAGGAATATTTCCGTAGCGATACTGAGACTGCAGGAGACGAGTGTGTTAGACAGTTTACATAGAAAATGGTGGGAATACAAAAGTCATTGTCCTAAGGACAGTAGCAAAAGAGGTAGGGCGTCAGGGTTGGAATGAAGCGCTTTAAAACACGAGGCCAGTCAGAATTCAGCAGGCAAAAGGTTGATGGTCGAATCGTTGACCCGTTTGTAAGTGAAAGAGAACATAATTAAGCCACCGTTATATTAGCAGTCTGTTGGTCACAGTGGCTGTCAGAGCCTCGTAAAGTGACATAGCAGTTTTCTTCTTTCTTCTCCTCTGCTTCTTTCTTTTCCTTTCCTTTTTTCCTTACTTTTGTTTTGTTGTGTTTATAGTTTGTGTTTGGTTAAGTAAGAGATACAGCTGCTCGAACAGCTGAACGGAGGTCAAATGAGAATATGATGGGGGATGAGGCAAGAGAAAGAAGACATAGAGAACAAATTTCATGGGTTCAATGGAGGCTGTTTTTCTGTCTGTCCCGCGCCACCCTCCCCCTATCGTTTTTTCGTTTGACCTCGATTCAGCTTTCTCTTCCGTTTTCTGTATCCCTTACTTGACAAAACGCAAACGAAAAACACACCAAGAAAAACCGCCTGCCACGCAGGCTACGGCCAAGGCCCATCGTCGAAATTTCAGCAGACGGGTAGAACACGTTGGTTTTTCTAAACTTATTCAAGCGAGCTTAACTGAGGCAGAGGTCGAACGTTTCATGAGTTTATCTGCCCAGCTTTAGTTCGTCTCATAAGAACCGAGGAAACTGGGGCGAGTTAACCTTTGCAGAGGCTCCTGGGATCGTTACCAGGGACACGCCGGTCAGCCTTTTGCTAATAGGGCGCTTAAGCAACAAGACGGCGAAGGCGACGGCGACGGCTAGGAAAGCGTCACTTAAAAAGTGAATCTGCGCTGCCTCAAACTTTATCGCGATTATTCCATCTCGTTTAATTCGTCAAATGTTGGCAATTTTTTTTGGAGTTGAGTTCTAAAGGATTCATATCAAAGTTCAGGAAAAGAAAAGGAACATTGTTGTCTTGTGTTCCCGTCCTCAATCAACAAATCGTGAAATTAGGCATTTTCACGTCGTAGTTTGCAGTTGTAACCGAAGTCACGCGTATTAGTGTCCAACCGCTTTATTTTACAAATCACACTCCTACGGTACTGTACAACCAAAAATACAAAGAAATAACAACAAATACATCAAAAGAAAACGCAAAAGCGTACAAATGGCGTATATTTTTACCTTAACGGTAACGTTAAAAGGAATGAGCTGTTCTTGACCGATAAAAACTGTAAAAACACTGACCGACAAGAAAGTTTATACAAAAAACTTGAAGATTACGTAACATTACGCAACGATGGTGACACCAAAAAGAAAGTAAACAATATAACAAAAGAAAACTATAAACAATTACAATTAATTGCAAGTAGACGCGAACAAAAAAAACAAAGAAAACCCTAAGTTCTAGAAGTTTCGCTTTAACAGCAGTGACGGCAAAGAAATGTACAAAAAAACGTGATGAACGTGGAAAGTTGTTGGTTTGCCAATCTAAACCTGTTGATTTTTTGTCGTTCTCGTTCACGTCGCCGTCGTTGTTGCTTAAGCTCCTTAATGTGTTTTCCCTGTCTTTCCGAAAGTTAACTCGACCCGATTTCCTTTTTATGTCTAAAGAGGCAAATTGAGATTGAATTTTTTAAATATCACAGCTGTAGGTGACAGCAAGAGGATTCAGCTGGAAAACATGCTGGGAGTCTACCTTGTGCTGGCTGCAGGTGGATGCCTCTCTGTTATTCTGGTATTAGTAGAGATATGGTGGAGGAAACATGGGCGCCACTGTGTAGCTGTGTTGCGCACTAAGCTTTCATTCATGAGGTAAGCCGCTCAGTCAGGGACTATACAGGGGCTTTGATTAGGGGAGTGCGGAGGCCAGAGTGCAATTTTGGTTTTTGGAAACTTGTAAGGCTAACAGGTTTCAACCTGTGGATACCGGAAATGTATCCAAAGGGTTTTTGTGATGGGTTTGATATGCAAATGTGTCACTCGCTCACTTTACGTTGACAGAGATCGGCTCTTCGGCTCCAACCAGAACTCCTTGCCCTAAATGAAAACGACATAGTTCGTAGTTGCCGAACTAGGGCTCCTGAGCATTGTTCACTCACGCATCCAGGATAGCCTAAAAAGTGTTTTCAATGCATCTACAATAGGAAGAAACCGTCGTTGGGTGTCCCTGATAAGTAAGATACGGACGTAAAAAAAGTTTTTTTTATTATCATTTTTATTTTACAGCGAGAAGACTTCGACAATTATTCGCGTATATCCCCCTTCTGTTCAAACCAGGGATGACGAAGCAGATCACAGAGATGACTACGACAATGATATGTACGAAGGAACTCCATGCTAGATGCCCTAAATTTTATTTGTTATATTTGTACTTGCGACTATCTCCCGTATAACTTTTAAAAAGCTGTTAATATTTATATTATGTCCAAAATCGATATCAAAATTCAAATTCTCATTTGTTGTCCCCATATGTTTTCAATAGAAGCAGTGGGCAGAATTTGTTGAAGTATCAATTAGATTCATCTTGTGTGATCAGGCCCTCAATTCTCATGACCACTGTGTTGTATAAAGCAGTGATATTACAAGGAGAAATTTGACGCTGATTACCCTTAGGGCTTAAAGGGTTAAAGCTGTATTGTATGTCTCAAAAAAGACAGACTTCAATCATTTCAATTTAAGTGTTATTGGCTAATGATATTAAGGCTGAACTATATTGCAGTAGCCGCTAGTTTGTCGTAAGTGGCGCGCCAAGCTTTAAAGTAACAAAACAAGATTCACAAAGTAAACCAAGGATTTGAATCAGACTAATTTCCTTAGTAATAAGAATATTACTTGAAGGAAATCGATTCCACACTGAAATGGGTCTGAAGGAAATAAAGTGATCATGGTGAAAATAGGCGTGCAGAGAATCTGCAGAGGAGTTATAATTTCAAAGTTTAGCCCTTATCTGACGCTGCCCGCAGCCTTATCAGGGCCTCAAAGTATTGGTAGGGAAACACAAGACGGATAATAAACAATTATTGGATGAGGTTTTTGTGATATCAGGAATAATCAAGGTCGAGGTAAGTGTTATCAGCCGAAGCCGAAGGCTGAGGCTGATAACACTAACCGATCGCCGTTACAGCAAGGAGTAATTAATTTCCAGCAATATCAAATCAGTTAAAGACTGGTCCTTCGGGAAACATTGAGATTCTCTGGAATCAAAATTAACTTTTCGCTCTGGGAGCAGTTATTAAGTGTTTATTATGGTATAATTAAGGATATATCAAAAGCCTGTCAAACAGGCACTATTTATTCAAGTCGCGTTTTTCGCAAGGAAAAAAAATGCGAGAGGGGCGTGGAAGGCGAGACGCACGACGCAGGAAGGTGGGGAAAAATAATATCTTGAAGATATACATTTTGCGGTGATATGAAGGTTAAATAAGTTTATAATAATCATATATATCAGGCTATTTTCAGTTGTAAGTGAATTTAGCATTTTAGAATTTGAAAAGCGGTCTAAACGGTCTTAATTTTAAGAGGTCCTAGAATAATGATAAATGGCAGGCACTAAAGTACCTATAGTCACGAGACAAAGTGATTGCCACTAGTGATAGTTTTTGAGGTGTTCATCTCTTTGGCATTGTGAGATCCATGGATAGGGTCTCTTTAATTCGTACCAGATGAATTAAAGGACATAAACCATATATGTTGTGATTTAAGGCTATGTGGTAAAGACTAATAAAAAGTGATACCCCTGTATAAAAAATATAATAATAATAAAGAAAGAAAGAAAAGTGACCTGTTAATCAGATAATTCTGCGTTGCCCTTATATTCCTTAACCAGAGTGTCATTTTTCGGAGTAGAGCCTTAAAAAGGGCGACAATTTTCACGTTAACTTCCTTTAAACAAGGCAAGGGTTTAAGAACCTTTTGTTATTAGCTCGCTTATCAATCCAAAATTGACGGACTAAGCCTCGCTGCCATTCTAACTATGGCATTAAATACCGGTTCATAGAATTTCGTTTTATATTGGCCTATTCACGGCGTTCCTCGACTTCTTTAATTTCCATTCTCGTTTCTTTGCGCAACTGAGATAGCTGGTGGGTATCCTGATCATTAGGAATGCGCTGTTTGCAGGCGATGCCGCGCCTTGTGATAAACCCTTCCGCAATACCACATAAAGGAGCAAATTAGGGCCGGACCCCCGTCTGTCGCACAATCGACAGCTTGTTCTAAGCTCTGACCCAGGCTGAATACAAGCTCATCTTTCAAGCCAAAAAAGGTTGTCAGAGCAAAATTAGGATTTCAAGCAATGCTGGCGTGAGTTTAGGAAAGTTTCAGTTGACGAATGTTTGACAGGGACCGAGGAGCCTTTATCAAGAGACCTACTGCCATAGTGAATTTGTGAAGATGTTGTGGTGCAATTGTATCCTTGTTTAACTTTTATTTTCTTTTGTTCTTGGGTGGCAATGTCATGATAACGCCGTTATCATGACATTGCCATACCCAAGGAGTGTGAAACAAAATAAACGTAAATTTAAACCAAGGATAAAATTAAACCACATTATAGACGTTGTGAGTTCGTAGTGTAAGTAAAAGACTAAGGGTGCATTCCTTTAGAATGATACGGATCAGTGATCCGAGATCATTCGGAAGGAACCGATGAATCCACTCTGAACAAGGATTCATCGGTTCATTTGATCTAATATGATCCAAATGATCTCGGATCACTGATCCTGATCATATCAAAGGAACGCACCCTTAAGCCTTACGGGTTGTGACATTAGCCGCCGAAGGGTGATGGGCTCCTGACTGGCTATTTCGAGGTTGCGCCAGAGACTTAGTCGGCTAGCCTGAAATTCATCCGATTACTTCCAGTCGTTATTACTCCCTCAGTAACGACGTTGCTGAGAGGAGAAAACGACTCGAAGCAATCGGATGAAATTCAGGCTATTAGTCGGTAATGGGATTGGATGGAATGTGATAAGAATGGATGTGATGGGATGGGATGTTGTGACGGAATGTGATGTGATTGGATGGGATAGGATGTGATGGGATCGAATGGGATGTGATGGGAAGGGTTGAAATGGGATAGGATGGAATGTGATGTGATGTAATCTAACGTCAATAGACGTGTCCTGTCTACAGTATATACTTGAAATTAACAGTAAGCTTGGACATCAGCAAACGAGGTGGAGTGGCGAGTTTTGTTTTGTCGCTGTTCTGGCAAGGTTCAAGAAGTGGAAAACGTGGTTAACGAGCCCTTATTTTCCGCGCTCTGCAAGATTTTTACTGGTTGTTATTTTAACGGGACTATTATCCACCTTTTCTACAAAAAAAAACCGTGGTTACCTATCCCATCAAGACAGTTCACCAGGCAAGGAAGTTAGGTACCAGGAAGTTAAACAAAAGGGATCGTCCCAATCCTCTCGCCCCTTATTTTTATTTTGTTTTGTTTATTTTTATTTCAGTTTTTCTTGTGAGCTCACTGTATGGAGTGAGAAAATCGTGAGAGAAAACAACTACAAGCAGATTGTAAGTGGTCAGAAAGTAGAAATTTAGAATCCAGCTGGCTCCTTGATAAAAATTCATTTATTTTAGGTAGGGTAGCAACATCACGTGATCGTCTCCTTTCGTCCATTTAGTCAATAGCAGCGTCTGCACACGTAATAAACTTTCAATAATTATCCATGCACACAAAACGCATAGCCTCAAGGAAACGACCACAAGCTAACGTTTCACGAAAACCAACTACAATATTCTTTATAATAAGGAGAACTGTACAAGTCTACTCGGCTTAAAGCGTTCCCTTTCTATTCCAGGCCTAAATATACATCATTATGCAAAAAAACTCAAAAAAATAGAAAAAGAAAGAAAGAGGGAAAAGGTGCCAACTAAGCATATATGCCGTATAAGCCGAAGGCCTTTTACAGTGGGCAATACATGTACAATATAATTATGTTGTGGTTCAATTTTGTCCTTGTTTTAAATAACCATTTCCTTTGTTTTGGGGGATGGTAATGTATAATAGCGAGTTTGAAACAAAGGAAAATCAAAATTTAAACCAATAAAAATAATTGAGCCACACTACATACAATGTAAATTGGAATCTTCTGTGATAATTTTCTTGATAGAATATTACAGAAATAAAACTGTAAAGAGAATCAATTCTTCCATCAGTTTCAGTCAACTGTTTGCTCAGGTATAAATCTGGTGATCAAGCTGCTTCACGCAATTGAGCAAAGAAAGAATCACAGTTAAATTATTTCCTTCTGCGACTGTTGGAAGATGCCATGATGGTAAGAATTCTGATGAAAATATTGATGGTGTCCATGTAAATACCAATAGACCTGTAATAGGATAATCAAGCAGTAAAAGAAATAAGTGAATGGATTTAAATAAATATAATGATACATATTAGAAATAAATATTATCAATAGTATTATAAAAAAATGAATGAAAATAACACCATGTGATAACACGGCTGAGGAAGTTCCATTCAACAACAACAACAACAAAACATCTTTGATAAAAAAAAAAAAAGAATGTGCAAAAGGTAGATTAGTTGTTTTCTCAGTAATACAAGTACCAGGGCTGTGCCTCTTACAGCACTTTACTTGCGCTCTTAGGTGACTACGAAGTCTCAGTTTTTTTTGCATGGAAATCATATGCTGGTTTAACCTGACTGGGGATCTTCTTTGGAAGGTCTAATATGGTTTGCTAAGATCTCCTGCCTTTATAAACCAATGAAATGTAACTGGTAGTCATATGTGTTGTGATGGATATAATAAAATAAAAATCAAATGAACCTGCATTTCACAGGTTTATAGTGTAGAACATTTGGCTCCCTAGATGTTTTCATAAAGAACAACCTTGTACAATGCATGTCCTACTTAATCAGTCATTGGTTGTTTTCAGGCCAAAGGGCCATTATAAATTACATGCTGTAAATTAACCTGCTATTTATGATCTATAATGACACAGTCCACTTACGCATTGATGGGGTCAAAAGGCCTCTCAGCATAAACAGGATACGTCTCAGCTGTTCTGATGATTTTCTGTGTGTCATACAACATGAATCCTCCAAAAATAACCAGACCTCCATATGTAACAACTGACTGAAGTCCAGCACCCACCACTGATGTTGCAGGCAAGAATAGTGTCCCTAAATAAAGACAAAGAATAATCTCCTTCACTACAAGAATCAATTAAGCAGACAGTTGATTACTGAAAAAAGTAACTTAAAAAAATATATAAATAAATAAAATAATAATAATAATAATAATGATGATGATGATAATGATAATGATGAATATGATGATGATAATGATAATAACAATAAGAAAATTTCTTCTTCTTTTTCTTGTTAAAACAGTACTTGTACAATGTACCTACTTAGTAACCTTTACAAAAATAATGCATATTTCCAGTTTGGCCAAGTACATGACTTCTACATTTGTACTGTTCATGAGATAAAAAGAGGAGCACCAGGCCTGTAATATTGCAAGTCATCTCAGTGTTTGAAAAAAATAATATGGTATATTCCAGTAGAATCTGTAATAAGAATTTGCACTTGACAAAATGTAAATCAAAATGGCTGAAGTGCAGTAAATATCAACCTGAAATTCAAAAGTATCAAAAACAAGCTGGTTTCACTTCATCTTCACAAGACGGTCAAAAGATGATACCTATTCCATTTACCTAAGCAGGCCATGCAAACTCCACCAAGTCCAATGGCCAAAGGACCACCCCAAGTAAGGAACTTGCCATCAGGAGCACAGGCAGCAGTCAGTGACAAGGCTCCTACGACACCGCCAGTAACAGCTGCAGCTCGCAGGACCAAGGGACCTCCAAGTAACATCATTGGAGCAATGAGAGTTCCAATCAAAGCACTATGGCCTGCAAAATTAATTTATTGTTCAAATGTAAAAACTGCCATTGATTATTGAAGGGGTGTGTGAAATTTGACCCCTAACAGGGCTTAAAAAAAAGGAATTCAAGCTTGGGCAAGCAGCTCGCTCGCCTTGGTTGATGACAAGTACTATCAATTGCCAAGTATTGACAAAAACATTTTTCTCCCAGAGTTTGGTTCCCTAGTCTTCCTCAGTCTACCAATTACAGTTGTAAATGTGCTACAGCTGTATTAGAATGGCCCTTTACTCACACTGCACAGCTGTACGTGTCCCTTTAAACAGGGCTTCTGATAATTATTTCACCTTGTCACGGAGCTAGGAAATCCAGGTAAATCCACGATATCCAGCGAAATTCACAAAAACACACAAAATAACACAAAATTTGGTAGAAATCTTATCATTACATGTCTGTACAACATATTTGAAACTTATCTCAGCTATTGGAGCTATTTACTTTCCTTAAACTTGCAAATTTATCTTGAAACTTTGTCACCGAAACGTGCAAACAACGTTGCGAAACTACCAGGCATAGATTATGTTGTGAAAAACTCGGTTGGTTGGCCCTAATGTTATAGGCTTTTCCATTGGTTCATTATTTTATGGAGCATATTGTTGATGAAAGAGCACATGATGACCTCTGTTAGAAAAACGTTAAAAACCCTGGTCTGATAAGCACAAAACCAATTGATTTCTAGCGAAGTTTACCCCTAAAATTCCCATGAAATGGGCTGCTTTTTCTGCGCATTTGTCTCTAAAAATCCTGCAAAATTTGACTTTTTTTCCACGACCTGTCAGAAGCCCTGTTTAAAGGAGCTACATGCCGCCAAGCAACAGTATTTGCTCTCTATTCTAAATTAGATTGTAAGGTAAGGATGTCTACGAGGATAAGATTTTCTATATACTGAGTTGTGTGCGCATGACAAAAACCAGCATCATTTTGGCATGTTCACATGTTAGCTGTCATCACTCTACTATGGCTGTCGTGGTGGTGGAAACAAAATTAAGAACATGTGAAGGTCAAATGAATCTTGTCCTCATAGTCACCTTCACCTTTGAATTTAAAGGTCTCTATAATTGGCTCTTACCAGCCCAAGCTAAGTGTTTAGCATTCAGCCCAGGTGCATATGGCAAACTCATGCAGAGTATTGAGCTTCCAATGGTGGCAAGCATTCCTCCTCCAACAACCTGTTGATTGATTGATTGATTGGTTTCAATTTATTTGCTTTTGTCACTTTACAGGTTACATATGCTCAAAAATATTGAAAAGGATAGTGATGAGGAAGCCTGAACTGGAAGCCTGGGGCTTACATGAGGTCCAGGCTCCCCCTAGATTATGGTAGTTTAAGTAGACATAACCTTAGCGAAAAGATGGTGCACTTTTCCAAAATAAACTACAGTATAAACTAGGATACAGGAAAAAAGAAGAATAATACACCTGAATTACATGCAAAAATTACTTACAAAAATAGGATGACATTTTAGCTAGATTATTTTTGATAAAAGTTCACATTTTAAGGAAAAATTTGAAATTAGCTAGACTAGTCATGGTTAGTAGTTAAATGTTTGCTTAAAGAGCTCCAGAAGAGTGGGCATTGGTAGGAAATACTAGTAAACTGTTTTAAGGTTGTGCGAGACTTATGGGGTCAAAGGTTTTGATCAAATCAAGTACAATGTATCCATGAAAAAAGAGTTTCAGGTCTATAAAGATTGACGAAGGTGGAAGGCAATAGATGGTTACAATACGATAACATAAACATCCCGAATTAATCTCGGAGACCTTTAATATTTTCAAATTCTTAAAGCTAGGTTCTGAAGGAGCTTGATAATCTTTGTTGTCAGTTATTTGAACAATGCGTTTTTGCAAAAAAATGATCCCAAGTAAATTGGGTTTATAACTTAAAGCCCAGACTAGGTTGGCAGGGCTCAAAATAACGGCCGGTCAACGGACAATGTCCGGCCTGATCGTGGACTTGACCGGTCAAACTCTCGTCTGGCCGGTCATTTTGACCGGTCATTTTTGGATGCTTGTCGCTTAATGCGTTTTGCTCTATAACGCTGTAATTCGCTGCTTTCTTTGGCTTTTTTTGCTGCTTTGCACTAAACCCTTTAAAGAAAAACGTTCTGCTTTGCTGTGATCAGTAATGCGACCTTCTTTGGGAAAACATTCGCTAACAATAATCTGTTATTTTTTAGAAAACTAAAGGATGAGTGACAGTTTTTGTCCATCAAACGTTTCACATCTACTTGTAACAGGATTGTGAAAATCACCTTCGACGGAATTCGGGCTAGTCGATCGCTCGTCCTGTACTGTTTCTCTGCGAATAAATTTCAGCGCATCGATTAATTATAAAATTTCTTTTCGTCGAACATAATCTCGTTTGCAGACTCGATTCCAGAATTGTCTGATAAAAACTAAGCTAATTGATAACGAACATCGCCTATCTCTGCTATATCGGCGCTTAAAATCCTCCTTCTTGATAAGCCGTTCGCGAAAAGTGTTGCGCGACGACCCAAATGAAAGCTTTCCTGTATATTTATTGACTTCTGATGACGAATACCCTGTTTGTGGAACAAATTTCTTGCCAAATCAACTTCTTTGTCGCAAATATTTAGCGACGAAATTCTTCTTTGTGGAGGAGACTTTCGATCACGTGCCGGGCAACGAAAAGGATCAAGATTCACGGATATGCAGATATAGGATGAACCTTGGAGACTTCCGACACCGCCGTACGATGATGCTGAAGGTATATATAAACGGACATAAAACGGGCGAAAATCGCGGAAAGGAACTCAACCACCTGTGAATGAATTTTTCACCAACTTGCCGGCAAAAACTCTAACGACAATGCCGTACTGCCAGCGTAATTCGATATTCCATGGGCAACAAAGTAATTATAATATTCATTAATTTGACCGGCCAAAATCGGGGTTTGTCCGGGCTAAAAAATATTTGGCCGGTCATCATGACCGGCGACCTGCTGTCCGTTATTTTGAGCCTTGGGTTGGAGTACTGTAAATACAGATAAACAAGTGAAGCGAGAGAAGAAATTTCTTAGGTAGAGAGTATTATTGTTTTAGCTAACTTAGAGGCAACATGACAAATTTGTGCTTTCCAAGATGGCTGGTTTGTAAAAATACACTGCAGCTGCTAGAAAGGACGTCTACTGTTAATCCAATCTAAAGTTTTGTCACTGATTTCTAATGATTTTGACAAAGAGCAATTCTGGTATCACGGCTTAAATATCATACAAATGGTCTTTTGTATATATGTCACAGGTCAAATTTGATTTCAGGTTAACTTAGATTTAAGCTAGTATAGGTGGATTCTCAATTTCCTTCTCCTAGCCCTAGAAGACAAAGGAAATTGAGACCTAGGTTAAAAAATTGTAACCTGAAATCAAATTTGACCTATAACAAATGTTCAAAGACAGCCTGTTTGCTTGAAACCAGCTAAATTTTTTTAGATAATTCGAAGTTTGCCAAGTCAGTCAAATTGTCAGGATCTTTCCCTGCCAGGGCCTTTACCCAGAGATGTCAATAAGGGCTGGTAGCCAGCCAAAACTGTCGGCTAGTTAGCTATCCTTAGCTGGCTACTTTGATCTCCTTCTACCACAACTACTAACAAAAAAAAGCACCATCGAATAAGATTTTAAAACATCCGTTTCCAAGTTTTGAATGACATTGAACACATTATTTTAAACAGGTTTGGATCTGTGAAACGTTTGAACCATGTGATGTTGTGGAATGCTTGGGACATTTCGATGGCATTGTTTCCAGTCTTGAGTGTATTCTGACAAAACAACATGGCGTCCACGGTGGAAAATACCTATTGAAAGCCCCTGGAAATGCCATTTCCGAGACTTTAAATTTTAAAGTGTCCCTAGATTCCTCAGCCCTCAAGGACTTGTGCCTTTGGTGTGAGTTCCGCCAACTTTTCATTATCATCCTGCCACTTAAAAACTTTTTGACAGCCCTGTTTACCTGTTAGTGCTAGAAACGAACAGGTGACAAAAACCCAAGAACACCGGCATGGAAGGCTAATATGAATATGAGGAAGCATATAGGTGTTTTTAAAAGCAAAAGAACACTTACAAGCCACGGACTAGCTCTCATCATGGTGTAGATAGCTCTGCTCTGACTTATGCCATACGCGGTAGCTGCTGTCACAGCCAAACTTCCAGCAAAGTAGGTGTAAGTTGACCTAACGCGATCACGCACAACCTGTGGCCACACCATTGCTCGATCAATAGCTCCCACTTCATTGGACAATCCAAGGCCATAATAACACAAGGCACCTACACCAAACAATGCGGCCCCACCTAGTGCAGCACGCCCAGCTGTTTCAGCTGTAAAAAAAATAATGTCAAGGAGAAGTAATGTTAGGATCTTAAATTGAGCAACAGTGGTTCTTTTTGGGAGGAATCAGCCCACCAATCAAATGCAAAACAATAAAGAACATTAATTTAAGGGTAACAGTCTTTATCCCTCTCATGAACAGTAATTCTTTGAGGTCAGATACATCTTCACCCTGGGAAAGAAATTTTCTGCAGTATTTTTTGACCTTGCTACAAAGTACATATCATCATGGTATCATAAAAGTAGTCACAAAATAGCTGAAAAAATAAAGGCTTGACCAGATTATGATATGGTTACAATTTTGCAAAGACAGGAAGCTGCCTTCTATCACAATAAGCTTCTCGAACCACCCATAGAGCAGAAAGTTTGTAACCAAATTAAATCTAATTCTTATCATAGACTGTAGAATAGCCTGCGAATAAAGCTATTTCCCCTGGCTCCTTGCTACTTGGGACATTTTGTGGGAGAGGCATTTGCTATTTGGCCTCAATCCCAACCTGAAACTGATGACAAAGATTAATTAATTTTTTGTCTAGAATCTGGTCAACAAGTGATGATTGGTCAACATAGTAATTCTAATCTTTATTTATTGTTTATCAGAATGACAGACACAAGATCACAAAGATTGAATGTACATGTACAATAATGTAACTACCATAAATCTACTAAAAACAGTCATTATTCATGGAATATAATCTTCTATTACAAGAGGCATTTGAGTTTTGCTGCCACTTTTTCACAAAAGAACTCAAAACTTTACAATAATAGACCAAGAGAAAGAAAAAATCGAACAATTTTTTACACCTGGAACCCTGTCCACAAGACTACCAGATTAATAAACCTTGAGCACATTTTTAGGGGCCAAACTGATCGCAGAAATCTCTCCTGCAAAATGTTCCTGCCAGCGAGGAGCTAGAAGAGCAGAATGCGAAGGAAGTCGTGTCCGATAGCCCAGGGCTAATGGATACAAATGTACGTTATCGGGTAAAATTTGTCTGACAGGCAGGGAATTGAAATTACAAAAGAACTGTAATCAGTCCTGCTCAAGTAATTTTTTTTTCTTCTTTTGGGGGGGACGAACGCAAATTAAAATGACTTTTGGGCTAGTACATGCTAGGTACAGCTCGTCAAAATGGCAAGCTGTTAAACTGGCTCTCTTTGCACCCTGGAAGAGAGACAGCTGTGTTTGCAGGCTATTACATGTGAACCGTGAACGCAACAGATGAATGTGGATATGATCTTCACAAATGTGTGATTAACCTGACGGATTCCAAAAGTACTAAATGTAAGGAAAAAATATTTTACAGAACTAAACTAATGTAATTGCAAAGATCACCACCACACTGAGTCTAGTAAAGTGCTTTGATTGCAGTTAAAAAAATTTACAGTCTGTTCAGAAAATTTCCCTCATACATTCACGAGTACCATTTTATGCACTTTTTTTACTAGCTTACCAGTTATACCAGGTGCTTTTGTAGTTCCTTCCCAAGTTCTCCATGTTTTAGCCTCAGTTTGGAACAGCCGGTTGCAGTTTCGAGATGGAAATTGCCTCGATGACTTTGAGAAATTCTGCGTCGTCTTTGTAGAAAAATTGCGAAGGGATGTCGCAGAACATCGGCCCAATATCCTTACTCCGAACATGGTGCACTGTTTCTTGGAGTTTTCTGCTATTTACGTCCTCAAAAAAAACTTATGTAAAGCCACAGTTTCGATGATTCAATTTCCTTCTCTCCTTGCGTCAAATCCTGGTCAAATCCCTTTCGTTATCTTGAGCATAAATCTCACAGGATACCGCTGATACTCGCACAAGAGAGGCTGCTCGCAGGCGTAAGAAGCAACCTGGGAAACCCGAGTTGGGACGAGAAGGTCGAAAAACAATAGGGACTTTAAGATCCAACCTGGGAAACCCAGTTGGTTTAATTAGAGTAACAACTTCGGGAAGAGAAGGTGCCCAATTTGTTTTATGGAGGACGACCCCACCGCTTGTTTTGTTATGAATAATCAAGCTATGAAGTCGTCCCGTTTTTGCAGCGGGGATCTTAGGGCCTGGGGGGAGGAGGACACAAAACAAAAGAAACCTACCCCACTAGACCGGGGAAAGACAGATAAACAAAGCTTATCAAAGCAATGCTGATATCAAAATTGGTTCTATTAATTAGTAATTGCCAAACATTGCGCACATTTCTGACGCTTCAGCGGTAAAATATAAAATGTTCACTTCAGACGACAGGCATTGCGCTACGACGTACCCAGAAAGCCGTCCTGTCCTTGGTTTCTCAGGAATTTCACGTGGTTTCGCTTATCCGTTTAGGAATGGATCTCGTGGAAGGCACAATACAGGTCGAATCTTTTAGAACGATCCACTTCCACTTTTCCTCGTCCCTTATCCACAAAGGCTCATTAGATTTGATGCTGTTGAAACCCAATTATAAACTGTAGCAACAGACTTTTTACATAATAAAGCCGCTCAATTTCACACGGAATGTTTTTAAACGCATGAACTGGCGAAACCTGCACTGTTTTGGGTTTGCTAGAAATACACGTTATGGCATCTTGGGTTTTCTAGACTTGACTCCACAAAGTTTTTACAGTAAATAGTGATTGACACTTGCAGACCACAGTCAATCTTCAGCGGTCCCAAGGGTAAACCACTCTAGCCAATCTGCGAATGTGATGCAAATAAAATGCGATTATGTTTGTCTAAGAGTTGTTGATTAAACAAAGAGCCAAGAGCTGTGGTTGAACATTACCGTCACGGCATTTGAACGCCCTTGCGCAGGTTGTTTTAGCTTCAGCGAAAAGTGGTTGTATTCTTGCACGATCTTCCTGGAATTTAAGCCACAAATCTAGCATGTCGCTAGTTAATATAAAGAAGAAATTGGGGCAGATTAAAGAAGAAATCGATTGCGCCGAAGAGAGGGAGGAAAACGCTAAGCAAGAATTAAAAGAAGCTCTCGCCAAGGCAGAATCATCCGAGAGCGAAGCCGATGGTATTCGGCGAAGAAAAGCACTTCTTCAGACTGATCTTGAAAAGATATTGACAAGATTGGACAAGCAAACGTCCTTGCTCCGAGAAGTTGAGGAGAAAGGAGATACCCATGAGAGAGCAAGAAAAGAGCTAGAGGAATGGGAAATCGAAGGCGACGAGAAAATTCAAGAATTAGAAGACGACATGAGGGAAGCGGAGCGAAAGAAAGAAGAAGAAATAAACCTGCTCAACGAAGCGAAGCGCCGACTAGTTGTTCTGGAGGGCGATCTGAAAACCGCACAAAACCGCGCAGAGGACGGTGAAGAAAAGGTTGCGAAACTGAAAGAAAGATTGGAGATGCTAAATGAAAAGACGGTGAAATTAGAGGACGCGGACGACAGTGCGAGCGAGCGAGAGAAAGAAACCGAAGAGAAGTTGAAATTCCTTGAAGAGCAAATAAAGGAATTGGAGAAAAAGGCTGAAGATGAGGAGAGACAAATTGGCACTTTGAAGAGGACTCGCGAAATCATAGAGACTGAGAAGGAAACATGGCTAGACAAGATTAAAGAAATACAGGACGAAATGGAAAGCCTTACAACAATGGCCGACGATATATGAACCAAAAGTACGAAAATTTGCATGAGAGATACTCTTCATGTTGGATTATACTTGACTTTGCTGGTACTTGGGCGAAAGCCAGCTTGCGTTAATGAGAATTTCTTGGTGATCTGTAAACTCTGAAACTCCCCAAGAATATTTCCAGAATCTCTTTAGTACTTGGATATGTATAAACACCGATTCTTGATTTCGATGCTTAGGAATTTTGAAGAAAGGATTATGCAAATATTTTGCAAGTTATTAGGTAAACATATTTTTCAAGCTGTCTATTTTCAAATCGTTCTCGTTTATAGGAAAGAAAATAGTTTGTCTTTCATCGTTACCCCGCTGCGCTGGTAACTCGAGCGAGGTTTAATATGTTTCATTACATCCGAATGCCTGAGAGTAAAAGTTGTCGTTTTATAGTAAAATAATCATTACTGACTGTTAAACTGTCGTTTTGTGTTTAGCCTGCGTACTCTAGGGGATTTAGTCTCCTTCGTAGCCGTTTTTTTGGATGTCACGCAACGCTCGTGACATCCAAAAAAACGGCTGCGAGGGAGACTACAGGGGATTAGGAGGAAGGGAAAACGGGGGTGTTTGTAAAACCAGGAAAAGGGCCGGAACACCCCTGAACACCCCCCTGACGGGCCAGACCCCTCCGGAGCACCCTTAATTACAAAAACTAGACCAAAATAAATTACAAAACCCAAAAAACCTAAAGTATCATGAATGAATCAGGAAATCTCTTACATCTGTAACTGGAAAACGAAGACTGGGTCAGATCGACGAATTCACGCTACTTCAGTAAAACCTTTCTTCAGTATGATGACTTCTGAAGATTTTTAAAAAGTTAGTTCGTTGCCAGTTTGCGAATACTTACTAGCCTGTAAGTCTGAAATATATCTGAAAGAGCCGCTACTGAAGTCAAGAAAACAAAATAAACTAAAAATAGATATCTTCTAGGTAAGAATTTTGCCGATTTGATGTCTACCGTGTTCGAGGAGGGTCACCTATAAAATTCACTTATTCCTGTCTTGTTTTCTTTTACTTTGATATTTCGTCTGATTAAAAAGAAAAATATTCTTGGTTTTAGTGTTTCATTTGATTTTTCAGCTGTTTTTTTTCTTTCGAGCGGTAGATTATATACGTATTGTTTGGAGTTTACTACCAGTTTTTGTTTTCGTGTTAATATGTTTTTTATGTGTAATTCATGTTAGTATGTTTTTAACGTTTTTTGTGTGTAATTCATCTGAGATATTAGCCTTTGGCTACTCCAAAATCCGAAGTTAATTTGTCTAAGTGACGGAAACGGAAATACGCCATGAATCTGAATTCCAGACTCCAATTCCATCACGGTAAGCGTACATTGAACGTTTAATTATCTAGGTAAAAAAACCCAATGCAAAAACCGTGTACGATCAACCTTGCTCAACGTCGGATCCAAAAAAACGTGATAAGTCAAAATAGATCAAATTGAAAACGTTACAGTCCGAGAAGACTTTTGCAGGGACTGATCAAACAACGTGAAATAGAGTTTAGTTGCGTTATTTCGACTGGCCAATACCAGTCTTCATCAGGTTTATTGAGATATCACGAATTTACAGAAATATATATGAAGTGAAATAATGACCGGAAATCACATAATATGACGTGGTAAGGTGTGGCTTAAAAGACAAGATAACAAAAAAATAAAAGATATACTATATATAGTTACAGTTCATCACGTTTGTTGATGCCAGAGGCTCAATTGTCTTAGCTTTAATTTATGGATAAGGTGCCGGCTTCACGTGCTTTCCTGAAAGAATCACGCCCATTTTTAACTTTTTCAGTAGGAATCAAAAGCATATGATTGTCGGAATGATTACTGGTTAGAAAGTGTTCTGAAACTGCAGTATGGATGTAATTACCAGCAGGGTTGAATATAGGTCGTAGATTGAACGATTCATCAAGCAAGACCCGATTTAACTGTAGTTTTTAAAAACTATGATGATGATGATAATGATAATAATAGCCTGCGTCAGGAGCCGATTACCGGCTCCTGCCTGCGTGGCAGGCGTTTGAAAGGGAAGGGAAAGGGAGATTAAGGTGCGAGAGAAACGCGAGGGGCGCGCCTCGCGCCCCTCACGCCCAAAACCCCCTTTCCTTTCCCTTTCAAACGCCTGCCACGCAGGCTATGATAATAATGACAATGACGATGGGTGATGATGATGATGACGATGGCGATCACGACGATAATGATGATGATAATGACAATGACGAGGGGTGAAGATGATGATAAGGACGTTGACGATGACGACGACGATGATGATGATGATGATGATGACGATGGTGATGATGATGATGATGATGACTATGATGACGATAAAACTCACGTACTATCGCCCCTGTGTGAAACAGTCAAGAGTCAATTAGAAAGATGAAATATTGAGACCATGGACACTGAAAATCCTATGATGTCACTCTTCACATGAAACTTTTATCACCAGTTGTACCTTAACATGGTACTATTCATTTCCCTCCTTAGAGAATGTTATTTGAAAAGCATCCTCGACCACTTGATATCTTTATTTGGACAGTTTTGACAGCAAGAGGGTATAGATAGTGCGCTTGTCTTGATATCACCTCAAACAAGTCTAATTCGACTATAACCTCAATTGAGGCGGGCGATGTTTTATACACGGAAATCATTGAAATGGCTCAGGCTCTAAATGCGCACTTCTCTCGTATCGGAACCAAGCTAACCGCCAAATATAAGGAAAAACTCCGGCTTATAGCCAGCAATTCCAGAAAGTTTTTCCCTCCTGTCTTTTCGCGATGGAACGGCAATCGTTTTCCTTTCGTAGTATCACAGAATCCTTTGTTCTCAAGCAATTGAAAACCTTAAAAACTAACAAAGCTTTAGGACTGGATCGTATTAGTGCATGATTATTGAGGGACTCAGCTGAATGCATTAGGCAGCTTTCCTGACCAGACTTTTCAACCGGTCACTTGAGGCAAGCACTTTTCCATCGATTTGGAAATCTGGTAAGGTGACTGCTTTATTCAAAGGAGGCGATCGTACCGATTGTAACAA